TCAGACTCAAACGTCAAATCACATCATTCATTTTTATCACATATTTAATCATTTATATATTTCCTCTCTAAAAATATCACACCACTCATTTTTATCATATATTAATTATTTAATATTTAATTAATTTATAGTTAATATATTTTAAAAAAATTTAATATAGTGGAATCGATTTTTTTGACGCTCGAATTTTATATTTTATCGTGCCTTCAGGCATGGGTTATGACTAGTTTTTTGATATTATATCTTTATTTTTATTTAATAAAATTATAACTTGTATAATTTTTCTAATTTTATTAAATGTCAATAAATGATTGCAAAATTATTTAAAACTAATGTCAAGGTGTGCGATTGAATTTTGGCAAGGCAGTCTTATCCTTGTGTTGATAATAAAACGGTGTTTGATTTGAGTTGGAAGTCCTTGTGTGGCACCTATTTTCTCTCAAAAAAAAATTAAATTAAATTAAACAATTTATTCTAATTTAATTTATACAAGTGATAATATTTTATTATTTTGTGTTATTATTTGTAGCCTTTTTGGATCATAGTTGAGAGACGAAATGAGTCTATTGTAGTGATACTAATGTTGCGTTTGATATGATAAAAAAATAGAATAATAGAAAGTTAGAAGGATGAAAAGCTAGAGGAATAAATAAAATATTATATTTGGTAAGGAAAAAAAATAGGAAGGACGGAAAAGTGTATGGATTAATTTAAAAAAATTTAAATTAAAAAAAAAATTCATATTAACTAGGGATGAAAATTTTCAACTTGATACAATGACACGATTCGAAGTTGATTATAACTCGACACGTATTTGAAAATAACCTAACATGCGAGTAAGAAATATAAAAGGCTCATAATTTTATAATTCAACACGAATATGACACGACACAACTCGATTGTCACCCCTAATCTTAGCCAACACAAAAAAAAATTTAAAAAAAATTTTGTTATTTTTATTTTTCATCTATCCAACCAAACACAAAGGAAATAAAGTGTAGCATTCCTACTTTTTATCCTTGAAGTACAGAAAATGTTTCTCTCTTATTTTTCATCATTTCTACCAAACAGAGCATAAGGTCAATGTTTTTTTATGTTTACAAGAGCAGACAGTGGCGATCAAGCATAACAAACTCTCGTAAGGTTATCTTGATATTCTTATCCACTATAGAATATTCGATTTGAGCCATAATTACTTTCTTGGGATGACCAAGCTCGTCACCACAGTACCACCAAGGACAAACTGGACATTAAGTCCCTTTCAACAATATTTTATTCATAAAGGGGTCGTTTGATAGACGTATTATGAGGAGATTAAATATTAAATTATATTATTTTTTATTTAATCGGACATAATATTTTGTTTGGTAAGTAAATTTGACACCGTATTAATTTCAAAAACGTATATTTATCATATCCTTATCGTATATTTTTTATACGTTAGACCTGTATTATGAAGGTATTTTAATACCACTAAAAGAGGTGGTATTATAATCCAATTCAAACGTATTATTTTGCACATTTACCATTATAACCATCTAACTGATAAAATCAAACTGTCATCAATGTAACAAACACTGATTGAGGATATTTTTGTTAATTTAACATTAATACGATAAAATAATTCCTTAACCAAACAACCAATTGGATTAAATAATTACTATCCAACGTTTATGTTGTGTATTATCAAACGCTAAATAAAATTATTTATTATTCTAATATCATATTTAGTCTTGTCTTTTGTCCTACTGTATTGTATTAGACCGAATTATTTTATCTAATCCATCCATTTCTAATACGACAACCAAACGAGTCAAAGATTACTACCACAAGCAAATATACTAAGATTAATGTGATATAGTTTAAAAACCAACAAAAAAACTCATATCTTTAACAGTAATGCTACATTGATCAAATTTGGAACCCAAATGACATGATAACATATTATTTGAAATATTTATTAGGGTCCAAATGACATAACACCAAATAAAGAAGTCCAAATCAACTGTCACATCATTTAAACTCTTGATTTAGTCCCAAAATTTAGTCAATGTAATATTACTCTATTTCTAATCACATCCAAAACTAGGTTAGAAAAGGGGGAAATTTGGGAATTTAATGGACTCTGACTACTTCTTATCCTAATATCCACAATGAGTGTTGTATACCCACTCTCTTATGTGTATCTCTCATGACATGTTATTGAACACTATAGCATCGGATATATATTAACAGATTTTTATATTGTTATAGCACAAAATATATTCTTTAATAAAAAATTTTCAAATATTAGCGATGAGTTATTCAAATTAAGACGCCATCTACAAGTTTTCAATATATACCTACTAACGCCGTCCCGTACGATGCACGAAATTCACTATCTTCGCTTTTCTTTTTCTTTTTGTTTTTCCTTCCTTATTTTTTACTCTTTTTCCACCCTTTATTAATTAATTAATTAATAATTTACTCTGTGTGTTGCAACTTGCATGTTAATTTTTTATAAAATATTTAAATTATATTTATATTAAATTGAATCATAAACTATGTGTCGAATAAATAATTTTTATTTTAATTATTAAATTATTTTATCCTTTTTTTAGTACTTAATTTTTCATTTTTTAAATATCTCTCCGACCCTTTTAAATATTTCTCTTTTGCTTATAATAATATTTTATTGTAAGATTACCATTCTTGAATATTTGTATATCTAATTATATTATAGATTTAATATTATATTTTTTTTCAAAGAGATTGATTATTGTTTGTATTTTCATATTATGATATTATTGCATACAAAAAATTAAATATAACATGTATTTGACGTAGAATGCAATTTGACAATTACAAGTGTATAATAAGAGAATATAGATTGGACTTTACTTCTTCATATAAATATAAATATAGATATAAAGATCTATATGTAAATGTACTGCTAATAAATAAGTATACAAAAACTTGAAAGATAAATAGGTATAAAAAAAATAAAAATTAGATACAAGTACATATGTAAGTATAATTGAATTTATAATAATAATTAAAGATAAAATCAAAATTCAATTTTTTTTTATATAAATAAGTATAGATAACAAGGTTTAAAATTTATACAAAGTTGTAGGTGATAAAAACTAAATTTGTTTGTTACTAGCGATCTCATCATGCAATACACAAAATTTGTAATATCTTTTTATCACAATCCTTATTGTCACCCTTACTCCCGCCCCTAACCCCACGGTCATATGTACCCTCACCTTATCATAATTTATATCTATCGATGTTCTTTTCATATCTATATCTATATTTAGATTTAGATTACTTATAAATGTTTGAGAAAAAATTTTAATTTTTAATTTTCTTCATAATTATTATAATAAAGTTAATTATACTCACCTATACACTTTAATCTAATTTTTGACTTTCAATTTATTTTAGATTTTTTTATATGAACTTTTTAATTCTTTTGAACTCATTTATTAGTAATAAAATCATATACAATTTTATATATTTATAAGAAGAAGTTAGGTTGTATATATGTTCAGACAAATTTTTTTTTTTTTATGCATGTTAAATTATTATATACATATATAGTTATCAGATTGAATTTTACGATCAAATATATATAATATTTTATAATTTGACATGCAATAATATTATAAGTAATCTAATCAATTTATGTAACAATATAAAAATTAATAAGTTTATAATATAAATAAATGTGTTAATGTCTAAAAGGGTAGGAGAGATACGCAAATAATAGTCATATTAGGTACTCAAAAATTAATAATTAAATTTAATAATAATTAAAATATAGATTAATTATTCGACACCTAATTTATTATTTTATTTAATTATAAATTTATAAAAAAAAATATTTAAATTTATTTACGTGAAACGCACGTGGTGCATTGATAATATTATGAAAAAAATAACTTATTAACGCACTAAATATATATGTTATTAAAAATTAATTCTAAAGTAGTTAATAAAGATGATGTTAAATTCACATGTATAGTAATTATCAAAAAAAAAGTTGAAGTGAGTCGAAATTCAATTGAAGGAGGCTATTATACATGTGTTTCTCAAAAATTGTCTCTCCTAAGTTGATTCTTTTAGTGTATATATATATATATATATATATATATATCCTAAACATGGTGCCGCTGCTTATATTCCGGGCAATCATAAATTCGTCGTTATCAATCAACGTACAGACAATCTCTTTTTCCGTGAACAATCCAAAGTTGTCAATCTGTTATTCGCTGTAAAAAAAAAAAAATCCTAATTTTTCGAAACAGCTAATTATAATTAGAAATTTTTTTTCCCGAAAAATCAGAGTTTTCATGGATGCCATTGACTCTTCAATATTACAGGTTGCGTATTCAATTGAACTGCATAATTGTTTACGCAGCTCAGCTTCCCTTCCCTCTCTCTTCTTTATCTATATCTATATACCGGACCCAGATCAGTTCTAGCTCATTTTTCATTAAAAAATATGCTTCAATTGGTTATGAGATTTGTTTTTATATACTAGGTTTCTTTTTGAATCCCATTAAAGTTGTGGGGTTGTGCTTCGAGAATCTGAATCCATATGTACATATAGTTCTTCTGTATGTATATACAGGTAGAGAAGATAGCTTTACGTGTAGAGAGAGAAAGCATTGAGAAGGTTCGAAAGAGACAGGTTAGAGAAAGAAAGAGAGAGGAAAGTTGAAAATTTTGTGGAGAGGGTGTTTTTCACTGTGTAAGACATTATTCAGAGAGAGAGAGAGAGGGAAAATTGTGAAGGAGACGATAGATCTTTGAGCTTTGCATGTATAGATAGATAAAGTATTGAGAGGGTTCGACAGCTACAGTTTAGAGAGAGAAAGAGAGAGGATTGTTAAAAATTCTGCGGAGAGATTGTTTTTCATTGTGTAGGCAACTACAGAGAGAATTGAGGAGAGGATGGATCAGAGAGAAGCGAATGATATAGAGAATGAAGGGTTGGGTTGTGAATGGAAGGAGATGGAGAGGAATACGTCGTCGTTTTCTTGCGATAGACAAATGAGTGGGACGGTCAGAGAGCCTCTTCTGGTCAAGAATAGAATCAACGCGACGTCGCAGATTGCCATTGTCGGCGCCAATGTTTGTCCTATCGAAAGCCTCGATTACGAGTACGTTGTTTCAATCCTGTGATTCAGCATTGATTTTATACTGTTTTCTTATCCCCTGTTTGGTTACCGAGAAAATTACAAAAAGAAAATTTCTGTGCTGTATTTGTTTGTTTTTAACATTTATAGGCCAACGAAAAAGAGCATTAGTAATTAGTAATTGTCTATTTACATCTTCTTCTTTTTTTCTAATATGGTTTAGGTCATATTGTAATGCTGATCGCCGGCATTTGTTTGAGGTTTGTGGCTTGTTTTGTTGTTAATTTGTATGATGACCCGCGAAAATTGGATGTAGGTGGCGGTTGGAAGAGTCTATTTTGTTCTGTTTTATATTATAGACATTTACACAGTTAAGTACTCAATTCTTAGATTTGTATGAGAAAGATAATTTAATTTGCTTATATGTTTTACAAGATTAGGCATTCAATTCTCAAAATTTATATATAGAAGATAGTAGAAAGATGTCTGAAATATTAGTACTTTTCTGAAAACTTGTTTTGGATATTAATTTTGTTAAATTGTGGGTTAAGAAGATAATTTTCAGAAACAAGAGGACAACATTATGAATTTTCCTCTCTGTTGAATCATAATTCTCCATTTACTCTAGTTACTCAAAAACATGAAATTGATGAAATTTACATCAGAAAAGTGCAGCAAAATTGTGGTGCCTTGGTTTAGTTTTTGGGCCGCTTTAGTAAACATCACAGACATAAACCCTGTTTTCCGAATTAAATGATAGACTACTGGTGATTTCATTAAAGCCAAAACCGTTTCATACAATGCTGTGTTGTGAGTTGAAATGGTATCACAATTTACGGACTAAAGTATGCGATGTCAAAGCATGGTAGTACTTTTGTTTGGAAAAGGTTCCTGGTAAGAATTAAATGTTTTATATCTCATACGTTGGAACACATTTTTGCAGAATTGTTGAAAACGACCTCTTTAAGCAGGATTGGAGATCTAGGAGTAAGGTTCAAATATTTCAGTATGTCGTGCTCAAGTGGACACTTTCACTTCTTATAGGATTGAGTACAGGTGTTGTTGCCTTCTTCAATAACCTCGCGGTGGAGAATATTGCTGGCTTTAAGTTGCTACTCACCACTGATCTTATGTTTCAGCGAAAGTAAGCATAAGTTTCACTGCTAAAGCAGTTGAGGTTCTTATTGGAATCAATCTCTATTGATTTATTTCTTTGCTTTTATAGAAAGTTCATTTGATATTTCTGCAAGAATGTTTCAGTGTTACTTTGGAATAATTTTTTGTGATATTCACATGTCATGTCCTTGTATAAATATAATGCCCATGCCACTGTAAACCCTCATTCTCAATTGCTGGCCTTAATTTTATCTTCACAAGCAGGAAATTTATGTTGATATCATTTATACTTGACATGTCTTACTTTTCTGAATCATGGAACAAGTTTTTGGGTAATCTCATTTCTCATTTACTCTGATCTATCAAACTGCTACGAGCTTTGTGGTTCCTTGTCTTCTGTAATGCACACTATTTGGAGAGATTGCCTATTGAATCCTATCTAGATCTTCCAACCTGTACTGTGACTCCACGTTGGAGTGGCAGATTTTAGGTGCATTGTTAGCACCCTTGGCTTACCCCCGAGTAAGAATTCAAGATTTATCATAATTATAGGTGATGCTATAATTATGGTTTTTTTCTTCTGGGGAAGTTTGGTTTTCTTCTTGGATTGTTCTTTTATTGCCTAAAATAATACCTGGTACAGTGATTCTCCTTGTAGTCTACTAAAAAAGTTTATCCCTGAAACAATTTTCCTGCTTGGCATACATCTTTAACAATTAGCTTCTACCACTTTGAAGTAACTATGAAGAGATTTTGATCTCACTGCAGGTATTTTCAGGCATTTGCAGCGTATGCTGGTTGCAACATGGTTCTGTCAATGTGTGCTGCAGCCCTCTGTGCTTATATTGCCCCTGCAGCAGCTGGATCTGGCATACCTGAGGTGAAAGCTTATCTTAATGGTGTGGATGCCTACTCTATATTGGCACCAAGTACCCTATTCGTAAAGGTGGGCCACAAACTCCAGTAATACTCTCTCTCTCTCTCTCTCTCTCTCTCTGTTTTATTTCTTCATATATGTAGTTCCTCTGTTTCTGTAGGAATGAACTTCATATAAAATTCTTTCTTATGCTGGCTTCAATTTATTATTAGCTTCCTGTTATCAGTAAGAACTTATCTTAAAATATCCAACTACTAAAAAATAATTCCAATTTGGCAGATTTTTGGATCCATTTTTGGAGTTGCTGCTGGATTTGTTGTGGGCAAGGAAGGACCCATGGTTCACACTGGCGCTTGCATAGCTGCCTTACTTGGACAAGGAGGTTCCCGCAAGTATCATTTGACTTGGAAATGGCTCAGATACTTCAAAAATGATAGAGACCGAAGGGATTTAATCACCTGCGGAGCTGCTGCTGGTGTGGCAGCTGCTTTCCGTGCCCCAGTTGGTGGTGTCCTCTTTGCTCTTGAAGAAGCAGCCTCATGGTCTCTCTCTCTCTCTCTCTTTCTCTCTCAACAGCCAGTAGCTTTGAACTCATTTCTCGACGAAATAAAAAAACAATTGTGTAATTAGAGCCAAGACACGCTGGGGTAAAAGTCTAAGATTTCTTTTAATGTCCACATGAGATTAGAATAATGAGTGAATTTTGTCAATCATGGCTCCCAAGTTTAAATGTCATCATTGTTTATGCACCTATTTGGTTTGATGGCTGGATGGATGAAAAATTCTTCTAAAAAAGTTAAAAAAGAACAAGGAACATATTTATGAACTCTACTGGAGTACAAGGACTAGTTAGCAACTTTACTGTATTGATTCAGATATCTTGGAGAAGTAACAGAGTAATTAGGTACTTAAAGAGTCATTATGATTTATGAGCGTGGTGGCTGTCAAAAAGAAGTAGACAGGCCTTTGGGTCTTGACTTAGAAAATTTGTATCTGCCTTAGACTAAAAGAAATGGGGAAAAAAGTGATGATGATTCTGGTTTGAACAAAAAATAAATAAAAATACTACCATATTAAGTTTGATTTTGTTTGTTCAAAGTCAAGGCCACTTTTAATGTTCTTTGTTGGTAATAAATACAATTTAACTTTTCCTTAGATTTTCAGGTGGTTGAGTGCGCTTTGTAGTTTTTTTGAATTTCTTCCTATACAAGAGATTCACTATTTTCTTTTTCTCAAATCCTTCAGGTGGCGGAGTGCTCTTCTTTGGAGGACCTTTTTCACAACTGCTATTGTAGCTATGGTGTTGAGATCTCTCATTCAATTTTGTCAGAGTGGAAAATGTGGGCTTTTTGGGCAAGGAGGTCTGATAATGTTTGATGTTAGTTCTGCAGTGCCGGCTTATGACACTGCAGATCTGCTGGCAGTTATGTTCCTTGGCATCATTGGAGGCATTTTAGGAAGCCTTTACAATTACCTTGTGGACAAGGTCCTTCGGATCTACAGTATCATCAATGAGTATACTCTTCTGCCCCTGCTTCTAGTCATGAGATTTTGCTGGAAAAACGATCTTAATTACTATCAAAGACTTTCAGAACACGTGTATTCTATTTTACTATGTGTAATCTACTAATTTGTGAAAATATTCGTGATCACTATCTTGTAAACAATCTCCACCAGAATATTCTAGTATTTTGACAAAGAATGTGGGCCTTATCAATTTTATCTGCATTAGTTTTTACCTGTGGACTTTATTCACTTTAGAATTTTTATAAACCAATTGTAGTCTTAACTTTGTCTTGTTATATGCTGTAAGATTAGCTCCTGAAATTTCTCAATTCATGAACTGGATTGTCTATAGAGCAACTACCTTAAATTGAGAATTTGTAGAAAGCATAGGAGTATATGTCTAGCTAGATTAAGTTGCAAGTTGTTTTACTTTTTATCATACTAATCTTTGTTTGAATTGCAGGAGAGGTCCCATTTTTAAAATCCTGCTTGTCATGGCTGTATCATTCCTGACCTCTTGTTGTGCTTATGGCCTCCCATGGTTTGCAAACTGCACCCCCTGTCCGATTGGCCTGGATGAAGCATGCCCTACCACAGATGGCTTCTGGAAACTACAAGAACTTTTCAATGTCCACCACGTCATTACAATGACCTTGCCTCCATTT